ACAAAGAATATTATTTTTTCTGAATATGAAAGTAAATTTTAAAATACAAATCAGGTTAGAGGCCTTACACAGAAGCTGAGATTGAAGACAAAGCTCTAAATACCTAGACCACGACTGTCTATTACTACAGGATATTTTTTAAAAGATCTGTCAAGTTACCATGGAAATATACTATAATAGACTATTTCACAAAGAAATATTCTTCCTAATGGTATTTACTTTCTTCTGATTCACATATATAAGTACATAAAATACATCATACTTACAAAGCAGTTTCACATGGCCTTCTGAGCCTCAGAAAAATGTGAGGTGCACTTATAGATGCATTTATAGATGAAAAACTGAGACTCACTACCTAACTGACCTGCCAGAGGTCACAAAGTGAATAATACACAGATTCAGAAGCTGAACCCAGGCCCAGCGTGGTGGCTCAAGCCTGTAATCCCAGCAATTTTGGAAGCAGAGACGGGTGGATCACCAGAGGTCAGGAGTTTGAGACCAGCCTGACTAATATGGTCAAACACCATCTCTACTGAAAATACAAAAATTACCTGGGTGTGGTTGTGTGTGATTGTAGTCCCAGCTACTAGGGAGGCTGAGACCGGAGAACTGCTTGAATTCAGGAGGTGGAAGTTGCAGTGAGCCAAGATCATGCCACTGCACACCAGCCTGGGCAACAGAGAAAGATTCCATCTCAAAAAAAAAAAAAAAAAAAAAAAAAAAAAAAACTGAACCCAGGGAGGCCACCAAGTGCACACTGGAACACAGTACCTTCTTGTAAAGAACTTCTATTAAAGCAGGTAGTATTAGCTCCAATTCACAGCTGAGGAAACAGAACCTCAAAAATATTCCGTTAACCAAGATTACAAAGCTACTAAGTGGCAGGGCTGATTCAAACCCTAGGCAGTCCAATGCTCCTTCTAGCATGCTAAATTATAACATGGTTTAAGCAGAGAACGTAGGTGGAGAAGATACTAAATCTTACTAGACAACTATATACGACATGACTACAAACCAGCAGAGGTGCAGCAGTTACTACAGAGAGAAGGAAAGGAAGAGAAAAGAAAAATGAAGAGGAAGGGGTGAACCAGTAAAAGGGCAGAAAATCAAGCACTCTTAAAGCAAGGCCGTTCCCTAGGACATACCAATTCTGGGAAAAGAGAGTGAGTGAGTGAGTGAGTGAGTGAGTGAGTGAGTGGAGAGAGAGGGAGGGGGAGAGAGGGATGGGGAGACAGGGAGAGAGAGTGTGTGTGTGTATGTAGAGAAAGACTGTGTGTTTGTGTGTGTGTAAATCAGTACAACAGGTGGGTTCCATGTCCAACCTGAACATTTTCAGAAATGGGAGCCCAGAGGCTAAGAAAAGAAGGAACTAAATTATAGGGAATTCACAAAAATTGGAAGTATCAGGCTGGAAGGTAGGGAAGAAAATGGGCTCTGACAGTCACTACGGTTAGAAGTTTGAGACTAAAACTACAGAAAAATAGTTTTGTGTGTAATTTTCCGGTAGACCAATCCTGTGAATTATAAATCTAACCAGATACTAACTGGAAATTAAAGTCCACTTCATCTATTTGAAATACCATCTCAATTCACCAAAAGCCATTCTAATACTTGGCAAAACCCAAATTAGGTCAGCAGGATGCTTCTTTAAGAATTAATTAGCTGGGCATGGTGGTAGGCCCTGGTAATCCCAACTACTTGGTAGGCTAGGGCAAGAGAATCACTTGAACCCAGGAGGCAGAGGTTGTAGTAAGCTAAAATTGTGTCACTGCACTCCAGCCTGGGCAACAGAGAAAGACTGTCTAAAAAAAAAAAAAAATCCAATGAAATTGATGCTTAAATAAAGAGGAGATTTTAACAGCTATATTTGCAGATATTTCTCACAAATATGTGGATTTAAAGGGGCTCAAAGACCCTAGCATAGATAATAGAAAATGGTGATCACAATTTACTCTGATTTCCTTAAGTAGGAGGTCTTTGGTTGTCTTAGGCTAGGTCCTCTGGAAGCAGAGCCTGAGAAAGAGATTTATGTGCTGGTGGTTTATTGAGGGAGNAGAATCTCGCTCTGTTACCCAGGCTGGAGTGCAGTGGTATGATCTCAGCTCACTGCAACCTCCGCCTCCCAGGGGGGGTTCAAGCGATTCTCCTGCCTCAGCCTCCTGAATAGCTGGAATTACAGGCGCGTGCTACCACACTTGGCTAATTTTTGTATTTTTAGTACAGGAGGGGTTTTACCATGTTAGTCAAGCTGGTCTCGATCTCCTGATCTCATGATCTGCCCACCTCTGCCTTTCAAAGTGCTGGGATTACAGGCGTGAGCCACCACACCCAGCCTTTTTTATCAAACTCAACAGATGCAATGTACTTAAAAGAAGAATGTCAGGCAGTCTAGCAGTAAATATAAATATAGTAAGTTGGAAGTGGGGAGAAGATCCATTCCCAGAAAGAGACAATCCATCATGGCTCCCGCAGGAGCTGCCTCTCTCCAGCCAGGGCCCAAGGGGTACCAATGAGAACCTTCACAGGCAATGAAGTCCTGAACAGGAGGTCCCTGCTGATGGAGTCCTTTGCTAGTACCCCTGCCCCCCAGAATTAAGGCAATCAGACAGATAATCGTTATGTTCCCTAGTCCACCAGTCTGTCCCAGAAGAGCCCAGGCAGATACCCTAATCTGGAAACTCCTGCATCTGGATCCTCTACAGAGTGGGCTCTTCAAACAGGGAAGAGGAAAAGAGTTTTTCTTTTCCTGGCCTTCTGCATATGATTCCAGGCTACTTCAAACCCCCTATCAATTCGGTTTAGTCCATAGGAAGGCTATCCCTCCCCATTCGGACTGCTTACCACCCAGCCCCCTCTTCCCCACAACCCATCATGCCCTCTCCTCCTGACACACACACACACACACACACACACACACACACACACACAAGAAGAGAGGAAATCATAGGGGTAGCTTGGCAGGATTGAGTAAGAGTCAGACTCCTGACACTGAGGTCCACAAACACTCCCACCTCCCAAGGCCCTTTCCCCCAGAGACAACAGCTGGCAGAGATACTCAGTTAGAAATAGGTTTTAGGAGGTGATGAGCAGGAATGATTACTTCAGCTTGTGAAAGCTGGCTTAGAGGAAATAATATATACTATGCAAGAGTTCAAACTGCATAAAAGTCAAATGTACAATAGTCAAGATCCACCCAAGGCAGCTGATTACTTAGAATAACAATGCTCATCTGGGTGTATAAACCCTAGAATGTTCTTTAAGTCACTATTTAAATACTAGCAGTTGTCATTTCACTTTTGCCTTCAGTATATCATAATGACATTAACATATCAATCACAACCCCAAAAGCCCTAGGAGTTAAAGAATCTAGGAGGGAATAAACAATGTCCTCACTGCTCTTCTAAACAATGCTTCCAATCTCCCCATTTTTCATTTCTCTAAGCACCCAAGGAATAAATATACGTGAAAATAGCAAAAACATGCCAAAATTTATTTTAAAGTTGAATTCTGGTTTTAAAATTATCCCATCCCTCAAAATTTCACCTAAGTAAGACATTTTATATCATGAGCAGCAATATATATACCAAAAAATAGTACAATGCATAAGAGGGGTGGGGAAAAGGGGCCCAACAGTTATATTAGAAGATATCAAGAAAAAGCACTTTTGGATTGAAGCTACAAAATCCCAGGAACTCTCTGGATATTGAGTCCATGATATCAGAGAATTACAATCTGAATTTACAGAGTTTCAATCAAAAGACCACCCAATATCATCCAAAAGTGAAAATGACACCATACTCTTGTTCTGACTTAGAATGAAGTAGAATTAAATGGCTTTTCCCAAAATCACAAACATGACAAAATGGCAGAGTTAGGAACATCCAATTACCATGATGATGCCTCCTTCAATACCTCTTTTCTTCACAAATAGAACAACTGGCTGGGCATAGTGGCTCACCCCTAAAGCCACAACACTTTGGAGTATAGCTTGAGCTCAGGAGTTCCAGACCAGCCTACATAACAGAGAGACTGTCTCTACCAAAAATAAAAATAAAAAATTAGCCAGGCATGGCAGTACACAACTATGATCCCAGCTACTTGGGAAGCTGAGGTGGGAGGATCCACTTGAGCCCAGGAGGTCAAGGCTGCAGTGAGCCATGACCGTACCACTGCACTCCAGCTTGGGTAACAAAGCAAGACTCTGAGTCAAAAAATAAAAAATTTTTTTAAATGTAGCCTCACTTTATAGAGAGGCTGAGGTTAGAGGATCGCCTGAGCACAGGAGATCAAGGCAGCAGTTAGCCATGACTGTACCACTGTACTTCAGCCTGGGTGACAGAGCGAGACCTTGTCTCAAAAAAATTTTTTTAATTAATAAAAAATAACTCCATGATGGCATTCCTGGAGCATGTAAAATGATTTTTTGTGATTGTGGCACACAAAGTTGCTTATAAACGATCACCCACTGTCTTTTGCTTGTGCACATTGCTAAGTGACACCTTCAAGGGGGGTGGATCACTTGAGCCCAGGAGTTCGAGACCAGCCTTCATGGCAAAACCCCATTTCTACTAAAAATACAAAAATTAGCCAGGCATGGTGATGTGCACCGGTAGTCCCGGCTACTCAGGGGGGCTGAGGCAGGAGGATCACTTGAGCCTTGGGAGATCAAGGCTACAATGAGCCACGATTGCACCACTGCACTCCTGCCTAGACAACAGAGTGAGACATTGTCTCAAAAAGAAAAAAAAAACTTCAAGTTTTATCTTTTTCTTTTTACTAATTTTTTTTATGTTTAGCATCACAGAGAATAGAGGCTTCAGGCATTTGTAAATTTAACACAAACTTCACCAATTCTCTCAGGATAGCTAGAAAAGGAAAAAAAAAATAAAACCATGAAGATCTTGGGGGGAAATTGCTATCTGATAACCTATGCATTTTTAAATGCTGCTACAAAAAAAAAAAAAAAAAAGCACACATCCTAAGGAACTAAATCTACTAACCTCTACAATCAATGTGATACATGGTTTATCCAATCTTGACAAAAATCCTCAGGATCACCAATGGAATGTTCATCCACTCGTACATATGCAATTGTATAAAGAATCTATTATTTAGAACACCAAAAAAATACAATTAAAAGATGTATATGCATAGCTACCATTTTAAGAAAAAAATAAGCACTTTTCATTTCTTATTAGATCTTTGATGTCCTGCTTTGCAAATTCAGTATGAGGAAAAAATTGTAATTACCAAATTTGAGGAAGAATAAGGCATATGTCCACAAAACAAATTTATTGAGAACATGCTAATGCTTCAAAAAATACAGATAATTATTCACTGAAGACTTAAAATCTCTAATACCAATGCAACATATTTTATCGTCTATGTATATGTGTGTATATATATCATAAACACATAACTTGTTACATTAAAATTAGAAGAAAGTATCTGAATTATACAATAGTTTCATAAGAAGAGTATTACTAAATGTGTATACATGTTTTTTAGCACATTACATATGAGAATATAAATGGCTGACAGACATAACCCTGGCCACCTTTGACCTCTCTCGGCACTCTTCATCTCCTTTCTCTGATTATCTTCCTCTCACTCTTAAATACGTATATGTGTGGCCCCCAATCAGCTGTCCTGTGAACAATCTGCCCATTCCCACAGCTCTACCATGGGAATCATTCCCATACTAACTCCCTAGCTTCAGAACCAAGGTTCCCACACACCTGCAATCCATGTGCAAAGCACAGTTCTTAACATGTGCTATCTCTTCCCATTCTTAAAACAATCCTGACCAGGCACACTGGCTCATGCCTGTAATCCCAGCACTTTGGCAGGCAGAGGAGGGCAGATTGCTTGAGTCTAGGAGTTTGAGACCAGCCTGGGCAACATGGCAAAACACTGTCTCTACAAAAAATACAAAAATTAGCCAGGGCAGGTGACACACGCCTGCAGTCTACTCAGGAGGCTAAGGTGGGAAGATGGATTGAGACGATGAGATTGAGGCTGCAGTGAGCCCAGATCATGCCACTGCACTTCATCCTGGGTGACAGAGAGAGACCCTGTCTCAATAAAAAAAAGAAAGAAAAATCTTCTAAATTTTATTACCTTATTTTACAGATGAGAAAACCAAGGCCCAGAAGATAAGTCCCTTGTTCAAGAACACATTAAGAAGTATCAGAATCAGGATTCAAAACTCCCTCTGATTTCTATTCCAGAGGTTTTAGCCACTACTCAAAACAGTCTCCCTAAATAACATGTGGCCTCAATAATTCAACCCATTCATTCAACAAATAATCTATCTGTTGAACACAGACTATCTGTTGAATCTGTTCTGTCTTTTCTTCACTTTCCTAAATCTGTCTAGAGTCTACACTCTCCCTTACTCCTGCCTCCACCTTCTAGTCTTAGGTTAGATTTAGATTCATCTCTAACTCCTCCCTTCTTTAATAACCCTCATCTTGTTAGCCAATAATTTCTCCCTATTTTAGGGATTATAGATTATATTAACTCCTTGACAAATCCACTTCCACTGTCCCAATTCAGACCCTAAGTTTCTTTTTACTTGGCCTCTGTGATAACCTCCTAATTAGTCTTGCTGCTCTTGGTCTCTGGGTCCTTGCAATCAGTGTTACATCACTGCCACCTGTTATCCTTATAAAACAGACCTACTCATGTTACACTCCTGCTAAAAAGCTGATGGTTCTCTACCGTCTACAGAACAAAGTCCAGACTAGTTCTGTTGGCATTCCTACAACACACTAGTCTCAACCTAGCTCCACAGCATCATCTACTATCAATCCCTACACCAAAAATAATAATAATAATTTATAAGAGCTTAAGTGTTTATACAGTACATTTTCACATACATTAATCCTAACAATACTATGAGTGATTTTTGTCATCCCAATTTTATGAGGAAGAAACTGAGACTTGGAAAGGTAAGGTAATTTGTCCAAGATACCAAATCATAAAGGCAGCATGGGCCAAGTCTCAAACTACACAGCTGATCCCCTTCCCCAGTATTTCACACAACGATAGCACTCCCATTCCCATCATAACAGACTTACTCAGCATTTTTGTTTTCCATAATATTTCCCTATTTCCATGTCTCAACTCAAGCTATTCTTCCTTTAGCCTCAATACCATTTTCATTTCTTGAGGTTTCCAAAGAACAGTGTTAGGCAGTTTACTTATCATGCTTTGTATACGTTATTTATATTTGCATATAAATCTCTCTCTGCACTGAATTATAAGCCCTCTGACAACAGAGCCATACATTATTTACTCAATTTTAAAAGTCTGCTTATTGAATTGAAAAAATTATGTGGGCAAAACAAGCCATATGACATGGGAAGCATCAAGGCCAGGCCTGAAACGAGAGCTCAGCAACAGGGATCAAACCATCTGTGAACACAGGCAGTGCCTTCAATTTTAACATTTATCTTTGAACAAGGTCAATGCTCCAGTGCCAACTATTCTCACTCACACTGGCCTTTATTAAATATTATAGTTTACTGAAAGCATAATTCAAAACAAATGTGGTAGGCTGGGCGCAGTGGCTCAAGCAGGTAATCCTAGCACTTTGGGAGGCCGAAGCAAATGGATCACTCGAGATCAGGAGTTCAAGACAAGCCTGGGCAACATGGTGAAACCCCGTCTCTACTAACAATACAAAAATTAGCCAGTTGTGGTGGCACGCGCCTGTAGTACCAGCTACTTAGGAGGCGAGGTCGGAGAATCACCTGAACCTGGGAGGCAGAGGTCGCAATAAGCCAAGTGTTCCACTGCACTCCAGCCTGGGTGACAGAGACTGTTTAAAAA